CAACATTAATACAGAGTTATTATCGAATGCACAAGGAACAACAATGTTACAAGAGACTGTGCTGGGCAGCCACCGCTGTGCAGCGAAGATACCGAGCATGCAAAGTCAGAGATGTCTGTGTGAAACAATATGATGATGTGAAAAAAGCAACAATTAGGTTTCAAGCATTTTACCGTGGGAAAAAAGCCCGAGATTTGGCTAAAAGAATTAAGGCAGTTCACCGAATTACATCATTCTTGCAGATGTGCATTGCCAGAAAATCCTTCTTGATTCAAAGGTCAGCTGTGATAGTACTACAAGCAGCATTCCGTGGTCATCGAGAAAAGGCACGCTACAGAGCTATGTGTCTTGCAGCCATTTCAATCCAAAATTGGTACAGAGCCTGCAAAATGGGCCGTTCACAGCTTGTGCAATATCAGTCCATGAGGCAGGCAGCTATCACGATTCAGACTGCGTACAGACATATGGTTGTCCGCCAGTGTATTAAACAGAAAAGTGCAACTGTTAAAATTCAGTCAACATTCCGTATGATTCAGTGTAGGAGAACTTTCCTCAGAATCAAATCTGCAGCCATTGTAGTGCAGTCTCACTTCCGTGCTCGTGAAGCTCGAAAACTGTATAAGAAATATAAAGTAGCGACTACTATATTACAGCGATATTACAGATGCTACCTCTTGATGAAGCAACATAGATCAAGCTACTTGACGCTCAGGCGGGTAGTAATCAGCCTCCAAGCTAGAGTAAGAGGTATTTTTGCCCAAAGACGATATAAAATGATACTTCAGAGCACCACAAAAATTCAGGTAATGTTTCAAATATTATATTTAAATTGGCTGTAGAATGTAAGTTGGTACTTTTTTGTAGTATTATAGTTTTAATATTGTTGAAAGTTTAATTCGTAAGCATAAATAATCTTCTGACTTTGTCATTAAATGTAGTTCCTTAACTCACTGGGGATGATTAAGAGACAGATATCCAGTTTGCCTTTGCTGTACAGCAATGTTCATTGAGCAATAATAAATTTCCTTGTTTTGTTTTGTCTTTCTCTTCCCTGACCATCTCTCATTCTAGTCTTCAGCATTTTCTCTTTGCTCACAACTTGTGGGAAATTTTGTGTTGCTTAATGAATGATTCAGTAAAGAAGGGCACCCAGATAATTGGCTATATTTGCAGCAGCACACGTGAAATGCTGATTAAGAAAGAATTAGATTAAGAACAATGGGGAATAATGTGCCGATTGAAATATTTTCACGTTTTGTCAAAATCAAGACTTTCTTTCATTCTGTCCTTAAAAACAGTAGTTCACTTCAGTTTTGTTTATAAAAATTCTTGCAGGCCTCTTATCGTAGAAAAAAACAAAGGAAGATATTCCTTCTAAACAAGAAAGCTGCATGTGTGATACAGCAACACTACAGAGCTTATTGTCAAAGAAAGATTGAACAAGAAAAATACCTTCAAATGAGGCATGCTGCTATCGTAATTCAGGTATTTCCCTCACAGATAGCTAAACAGTAGTAATTTTCCTCTTTCTAATCTACTATTCTTTATAGAACAGCACTGCTCCAGATATTTCCCAGCCAAATCCTCAAAAAGATTTCAGAAGTTAAACTTGACTGAAATTTATGGCTAGGTAACCGCTTTTTCTTCAAATAAGAATTAGATTTTCTACCTTTCACCTTATAAAGACATACTCCAGAATGTAGAATTGTTCAAAGGATTTATCAGTCTGTGAATATATATCGTCTAAGACTTGTGTTTTGTATTAAAATTACACCACCAAGCTGCTTTTCTAATGGCCCTGAACATACGGCATTGCCTTTCTTCTCCCTCTAAGGAGTGATGCAAAATAATTGTAATACCGGATTCAAACCAGTTTTTTATCTTCCAGTTTTAATGTCTCCTCTCCTCCACCACCCTGCCCCCCTCCCCAATCCTCTTTAATTATGTGATTAAAGTTCTGTATTCACTGATGTTAAAATTTAATATTTTCTTTGAGGATCCCTGGCACTATATTATTAAACTGCTGATGTGATTTCATGTCACTGCTTGGTCATGTGGTCTTTTTGTAAATTTACATTTTAAATGTGCACGGTTGCACTCAACAGTTAATTTGATCCACCTTAATTGCAACAGTTGATTCTTAGACAAAATGCTGCAGTGGCATCTGATGGATTTGGTCACCTTGGCAATGACTGCTAGTCTCATCGAACCGAAGTGTGATGCAGTCAGTTCTCAGTTTCACTTTATAATTTAACCAAGTTTTGGGCTCTTGTAAGCATCAACATTCTGCTCTTCACACCTTTTGTCACTCAATATCTCTTCTTTTGTTTTGTTTCCTTTTTTTGAACCCAAATATCAGTCCTTATTATGCAATTCCTTCAAATATGTGCACAATTTCTAGACATTGTTATTAAACTCCCATTTAAACTGAAGCACCATTTCTTGCTTTGTAGTATTGCACTTTCCTTCAGCAATAACAAGTGGTTTATTGAAGTTAGCTTTTTTTCAACTAGATCTGTTGATCCAATTTTTGATATGTTCTTTGTGCTGTGTTTTCTCTTCACCTTTCAAAGTTGATGCTCCTTTCAGCATTTCATTTTTTTTTGTGTTCCTTCACATTTTCATTCAAGGCACCCTGGTCAGGCATACATGATTCAGTTTAGAGGTGTTGTTTACATGAATATTGTGACCTCGGTGTGCTTTTTTTTTTACTTGAAATGCATAATTGTACTTAACTGTTTACTGTTCTTTCTGACCAACTTTGACATCCATTGTCAATAAATATTTTATTCCATATTTTAATTTGTTTCAGAGCGCATTCCGTGGATACAAAGCAAGGCAGCTAGCCAGAAAAACAAGAGCTGCACAAAAAATCCAGGCATGGTTCAAGGCTCAAATTGAACGTCGGCGGTATAAATCCATACTTGACTCTGTTCTATTCATCCAACAGCAATTGAGAACAAAACGAGAAAGATCTAGGTAACATTTTATGGGAAATAATTTTTTAAAAAATTACACCCTGTGTTCTAGAGAAGACAGAAGTTAGCTTTTACCAATGTTGCCCTGTGAAACTGATAGCAACTTCTGACGTGATCACAAATGTTACCTTGTGACCTTTCGTTATGCTGCACAGTCATGTTTATTTTTCTAGTTATAAAATCCCATTAAATTTTCTTGTCTGGCCACTTGTGCACATTATTAACCTGTGTGGTAGCTTTTAGACTGATTTGTAACTGCACAGCTTAGCAGTCATATCAGTTAGCACATGAACTTTTAAATCTGGAATTTGTTGGCAGGAATGCCCTGCTCTTTCATTAGGAATGCTGTTGTTCTAGATGCAATTAACACAGAAATCAGAACACAGAAATCAGACCTCCGTTGTGAACTTAAACTTATTACATACCATTCTCATTATGAAAACATTTAAAATGTTAAATCCCTTGTCACTGCGTTTTATGTAGTTCTAGAATTCTTCGTCTATTACACTGCTAAAGAATATTTTAGATAATCTGCTGAGGTAAAGAAAACATCTTACTTAAGAATACCTTATCATGGTTTCAACTTGCCTCAAAGCTAGAAGAAAGATCACGCGACATTGCATAACTTTCTGTGGCGTACACATTCAATGTCACATCATAGTCAGACCTTCATTCCATGTTTTACTTTTTATAAAATTTTGCTGTTTCAGCCTCCATTCCATGCTGCCTGTGAAATGGTCTAAAAATGAATGATTATCTGTTATTTTTACTGCCTGGTTTGCTATCTGAGAATTTATCAAAGTCATTTTTTAGACACGTGTGGTAAACAAAGTACAGGAGTTGACTGCATTTTTTTATCCTGATTTAAATTGTCCCTTTTTTTCAAAACGGTTTGAATCGATTGCATTTCCTTGTATTTCACAACTAGGTTCTTAAAGATCCGGGCTGCCTCAATTGTTATTCAACAAAAATGGAGACTAACTGTTGCAACAAGAAGATTGCAGGATGAAAACATGAGAAAAACAATGGCAGCAATCAAAATCCAGGCATTTTGGAAAGGATTTAGAACCAGAAATCAGCTGATAAAGGTAGACTGCATTTTCTTTGTTTTCTTTGGCTTGCTTTGCATTTGAGGAATCAGCATAAACATACTGGGTTAGAAACTTCACTTTGGGTCCTCTGTGCAACCCAGGAACAAATTGTGTGAATTTTCCAAGATTCAGATGTCAGCTTAAACACAGTTTCCATCACTGAATCCAACATTTCCTTGAACCAATGCAAACTGGCAGCGTAATAAAGGTAATTGATTTCCTTCACCACCCCTGCCTCCTATTACATTAAAAGACGTTACTATATTGTACTTGAGAGTGTTAACCTGTGCAGCTTTATTCATTTGGGTTAAAAATGAGTTTATTGCAAAAGTAAGCATTTACAGTGTGTTTCTAATGTACCACCTGAGTACCCACTATTAAATAATTAAAATTAATTTCAAAACATTATATGCTATTATTTAGTAGTATCTTTCATGCTCAGTCTGTTCCTTGCAAAACAAATCTTTTTTTTCAAGTATAACTTTGTGTCACTAAGCACCTACAATCATTTATACCTGTTCAAGGCAGCTCTTCATTCTGAGAAAACTCTCCATGCTTAGTAAAAGCAAAATACTTTGGATGCTGGAAATCTGAAACAAATGCATAAAATGCTGTAGAAACTCAGCAGGTTTGGCAGCACCAGTGCCCAGAGAAACAGTTAATGTTTCTGAGTCCAGCATGACTCTTCTTCAGAACTCTCGATAGATGTTGCCAGATCTGCTGAGTTTTTCTAGGGTATTCTGCACTTTTTTTCCAGAGTATTCTGCACATTTTTTCCGTGCTTAATCCTTTGAACTAAGATGAGTCCAGTTTTATGGGTGGGTTCCCAGCTTCCAGTGTGATGATTAAACCATGTTAAAGTTTGCAGACACTTCAGTTACGCTGGCTGTGAATTGAATTTAAAATTCTGTTATCTTTTATGGTGCTTTGGCTAATTTAGAGCGAATTGTGCTGAGAATGGAAACTCTAAACTTCTGTTTTCATTTTAGTTCTGGGATCAGGATTCAAATCCTGACTAAATTGCTGGGATTAAAGTCATCTTTATTTTTTAGACATTTTGAGAAGGTTTGAGGAAGAAGTGGACTCGAATAATTTTGACCTAGTTTCTGAAACAAAAGCAGAGGTTTCAACAGTGGCAAGTCCATTGGGAAAACGTAGCGTGATTGGAAAGAATGAGATTCTTGATGGCGATAAAATAAGTCTAATTTTCCACCCAGGTTTTAATGGCGAGATGAAAATCTTGTTAGTGAGTGGTGAGAGGCCTATATAAAATGCATGAATTATCTCATATATACGCAGTTTGCTATTTTACTGGAGAGAAACTAGATTGTGGCAATTCTAAACATGTAAGTCTGATCTGAAACCTCAGGGCATGCTATGTGGGCAGCATCCACCTGCATCCTTTGGCCATGGAGATTGACATCGGCATGCACCAGCCTTCCCATTATCATGGCACATCTGTGGCTCACTTAGAATACTTCATTTTGGAGTGCACCAACACCTTTCAGTGCTGTGCACCTGGTAGGCCACCGTTGCACGCAGGGACAGGCACCATTTCATGCATCAGAATAGGGCATAAGACAGGGCTCCTTGCTTGCTCCCTTGATTCTCACTTGGATGCATACTGCATCTCTGCCCATGACTTGCCTTTTTGAGCATTCCTGCTTCACAGTCCGACAGTATTTCTGTCTTGCCTCACCTTTTGGTGCAAACACAACTGGACAGCTTGTCATGGTTGCCGGAAGTGATCAGTCAAGATAGTGGATGTGTTGCTGTACAGCATTGTGCTACTTGAAAGTCATGCCTACAGCATGTGCCATTAGTTTACACAGCAAACACATTGCATATGCTTCAACTATATAGCTAGTCTAATGGATGTAGTCAAGTCAAGGTGGTCTGTTATCGCAGAGGAACCCTGCCACAACCAAGCAAGATGTGGAGGCGCTGGTGTTGGATTTGAGTAGACAAGGTCAAAAATCACACGACACCAAGTTATAGTCCAACAGGTTTATTTGAAAATGCAAGCTTCCGGGGCTCAGCTCCTTCCTCAGGCTTCAAAAGCTTGTGTTTTCAAATTGTTGGACTATAACCTGGTGTCATGTGATTTTTGTCCTTACCTGATTGTATCAATGTGCAAGTGACTGACTTAAGCCGTGAATTGTGTTTGGACAATCAGTATCAGGGGCTCCTTGTTATTGCAGTCTAGGGAGTGGGCCACGTTCAATTCTGCAGGTTCTGAGCATCAGTCTGTATATTACAGTAAGCCAGTTGTGAAGCTGTAAAGAGGTCAGTTGGGAGTTTTCCTCCAATTCAGTCAGGGGTTAGGTCCTTGTCAGTCCTGGGAGTCTGTTCGATTAAAGTCAAAGCAGATTATCGAGTCCACTGCTACGATGGACCAGTTGTGAAGAATGGAAGCAGCAGGCTGGGATACAGGTGGGACAATAATCATGATACTGCACAACTCCGTGTACCATGGTGGGAGACGATCGTGCATTAGAAGACATAATTTACTCTCGGACTAGCAGTATTTGACAGCCACTGCCACTCTGGTGCACCCAGTACATCACAATGGCATTACTAAACTGTAGGCCCATGGATTGGGGATGTTGGCAGATGGAGACTTAAATAAGAGTTGAGCATGTGGAAGATCAGAACTGATGGGTCAACAAGGAGTGCAAGGAAAAAAGAAAGAACTTGAATGTTAGTGGCTGTCACTTGGTTTGAAAGGCCGAGCCTGTGACTTGCTGTACAAAGCACCAGCTGTGTTGTTTTCCATTTTCATCTGAATCGCAATGCAAATGCAAAAGGGCTTCTGCCATGCTTGCAAGTGGGCAGAATATTTGTTGAGGGTGCAGGCTCTACTTGTGAGGCATGAGAGGGTGTTTGCCCTTATTGAGGTCATTGTTGCGATCAGGCACTTGTACATGTGGGTTTAAAATATCTGTGGTCATAAAATTCTACAAGCGAAACTCATGCAGAGACCAACTATATCAAATACATATATTGACCACATGCAATCTTTAATGTGTTGTTGGTCATTGCAAATTGATCATGGTCATCTGTGTGAAGTAGAAGTGATCATAGGTGACCGTAAAAAGTCTTATGGGCCACAACTTGCAAAAACAATCCAAGGCTTCATTGGCTACACAAAGGTGTTGAGATGATTTCCTCTCACCTTGAACAATGCTACTTTTCTCAGGTGGTGTGATGGATGGGGTTGGGAAACAGTGTTTCACTAATTCTAATCTCCTTCGTTGTTTGCAAAACATGGGTTATGGTGCATAGATTAGAATACGGTCAACCAAATAACAGGTACATGTATATGCATTCCATGGCCCTCCTTGACAGAATCCTTTAGGTTGCGCTGTATTGAGGACTATGCTAAACTTTCATTTGTGTGTGCTGCGAATGCTCACATTCGTAGGGACCTGTCTGTATCTGACCTTCCCTACAGGTTTCATTGGAACTGTGACCAATGGATCCAGCCACAGCAGGGGTTATTGTTGCTGTTCCCATGGTGCAAAAAAAGCTCTGGGAAATTGAGGAAGGACAAAGGGGCCAGCAAACCCAAGACCACGAGCTGGACAATTTCCATGCGAAAGAGGTTGCAGCTGAAGATACCCTACAGGAGGCTCAGTCTGTCATCCATGATGCCATTCCCTCTGAATGAATGAGATGCATTGCTGTCACAAACTAAGGATGTCACATGAACAATGCTCCCTCTGAGCTGCACGCCTAAGGTGCCGATTGGTGTCAGCACGTTGATCGCAGCTTTGACTGCAGGAAGCCTACATGAATCTTGGAGGCCTGCGCAGCAGGAAAGAAAATTAACTGGAATACTGCCCAGGACCCAAGTTCTCTGTATGCCATGCAGCCACTAGAAGTTCCACGTGCAGCGATCCAACAATGCTTTGGACATTGACTCCTATCTTCAAATTATTTGCCATGCGGGGATCTTGGAGGATCGTGCAGCAGGAAAACATGCTAGAGGGAACATTGTTTGGGACATTGTCACAGAGCTGGAGCAGAACTTGCAATCTGAATGGGTGGGTGGCGACTCAATCCCTCTGACCATCAAGTTGACAGCTGCATTCAATTTTTATGCCGCTGGCTGTTTCCAGGGGCCCAGTAGGGGTTGGCAGAATGTCTCAATCCACAAATGCATCAAGGCTGTTATTGATGTGATCTGTGCAAGTTCACACACAGGTTCACCTTATTTCTCATTGATTAGATTCGTGCTACAGCCCAGATAGTAGACTTTGTCTTTGAAGCTGCATATGCCAGGCGAGGAATGCTATAGGCTAAAACATCTAGCATTCAGCAATGTACAATGTGGCTGATATTAATAATAGAAAATGCTTCTGTTCAGTAAATGTAGAAGTCATCTGTGGTCACATCTTCAAGGTTGGCATCAAAGACCTTAAAAGCAGCCATGAGGCTTTATGTCCTTGATAGTTCAGGTTCCTGCTTCATTTCAATGGTTAGGTACCTTAGAAGGATAGCTGCTAGGTGCCTACTCTCAACAACCATGGTTGATGACTCCTTTACTGAACCTGCTGATTAAAGCCAAGTTTAGAAAAAAAGCAGCCATTCTACATCCAGGGCATGGTGGAGCAGGAAGTCTTCTCCTGAAGATGAGGTTCCAATGTTTGTACAGATCAGGTGGGAGTACAGTACAAACGGTGTGTGCTACGTAATCCTTGCTTGGTGTATTTTGGACAATGAAGTGGGAAAAGAGGGATGTGATGGATGCTAAAGAGCTGGGAGAGCAGCAGCATTGAGCAAGAAGAACATCACCTACAGTGTGATAGAATAGGGCAGCATTGGGCACAATAGGCCAAACAGGAATTAGTTGACACCTGCTCCCAACAGATGAGTTGGGTGAAGTTATCGTTCAAAAGGGAAGCAACTCTTTTCACTTCCAAAAACAAATGCAGCTATTTTAAAATCTTTTTTGTCATCACTCTTTCCATGCTGTTAAATAAAAGTTGGTATTACCAGCTGTCTGAAAGGTTTGTGATATTGTGATGCTCTAGTATGGAGCAATGCCAAGTTGTTAAGCTACCCTGGGCATTAGAGAAAGATTCACTGTCTTTGGATAGGTTTCAAATTCTTGCAGCTATGACAATTATTTAAACAGGTGTTGATGTAAAAACATTAAATATCTATGGTTGACTGTGAGTTCTATTTCCAATGAAATGTTATTCATGCCACCTGTATGTGCTTCGAAACTTTTTTCCAATCCCACCCCACCGTGTACTGTGAAGTACTAGTCCAGGCTGGCAATATTTGATCTGTGCGCAACTGGACTTGAAATATAACACTAGTGGCTCAAACCCTGAAAGGTCTCAGCAGCAGCAAGTATTTCCTCTACAGGTGAGGGCACAATTTGATGAGTGCAGTAAGGTGTGCACGTAATGGGGTGAGCAGTGGAGAATTGCCTGATATCTCACCAGAGCTCATGGTGGGGAATCCTCTGAAGCTCTCCGAAATTGATACTTGCCTAATTTTGTTTTTGTAAAATTCTGCACAGGAGGGAGAAGACAAGGTAATGTTTTGCATAACTGTTGAACTAAAAGCCATGTAAACTTCAGTCAAAAAAAGGTTTGGGCTATTGCATAGTGTGTAATTTGTCTGTAGTCTTTTTGTTTGAACTTTGACATTGAGAACTGTAGATTGTAACTTGTATCTTCCATTTTATTGCAACAAGGGGTGATGTGGAGTACAATCGGGATGACATTTGGTGTGTTCTAGCAATTTTTTATAAAAATTTTAATACTGCATCTGCAGATCACTCTGCCACCCTGTACAATCCATTTATATACCTCATTTATAAATGTCAGAATACAAGTGCGACTGTATATTTGGTTTAACTTCCTTGGTTAAATTCTACTCATTGCCCCTCCATGCAGCATTGTAATTAACAGATGGCCTGTTAGTACCTTTTTAATATCATGAATCACAGGAGTCCCAGAACAGATCCCTGGAAAATAATTGGTTACTTCTTCTGAGATTTGTATATTGCCATCTTTTATACTTACACAAAGAATGAATTACCATTAAATACTCACGATCCAAGATCAGTGTTTTTAAATGTTTGAAATAGGATATCAAAAGTCAAGTTACTAGAGCAAATTACTTTTTACAAAATAAGTACCGGTGGTATAATAAATGTATATTTTTGGGATTACAGAAACATGAAGCCGCCTCTCAAATTCAGTCTGCTTACAGAGGTTATAAACAAAGAAAGAAGTTTCTTCAGCAAAGAATGGCTGCAATGATCATACAAAGAATTTACAGAACTTGGCAACTTGCAAAAACTGAAAACATGAAGTACAAAAAAATCAGAGAGGCTGTAATTCTCTTGCAATCCATATGTCGTGGCTGGCTTGTTCGCAAAAAGGTATGATGTTAGTAACTACAATGAGTTCTAATTTATTGAAGCTCGTTTTTAGCTCAATTAGCACTCTTATAAACCTCCCAGAATATTTTATGTTTGTAGAAAATACATGTTATGGTGCCTACTTTTGTAAGATGCATGGATTGAGTAATATTATGACTTGGAGTTACATTTTTCCCTGTTAGCTAAAGTTAGAGCGGTATGATCTGCTGTAAACATCAAGCATGTTGACCCTATACTAGCTCTTTACAAAAGTCATTTAACTTGTCCAAAAACCTTGCCATTTCCTTCAAACCTTTTAACTTAAGGGGCTTACGTAATTTGCTTTTGAAAGCATGGTGATTCTGCCTCCACCACCCTTTCAGAAATTGCATTCTAAGTCCTAACTACCAGTTGTATAAAAACATTGTTCTTCATGCCACCTTTGCTTCTATTGCTAATCTTTTATGTCTATTCCAATAAAGTTATCAAGCTTTCTGCCAAATGGAGTAGCTTCTTTCTATCTACTCTGGGTGGACTACGCATGACTTTGAGCAGTTTTATCACATGTCTTCTACATCTTCACTTGTCTGAGGTGAACAAGCCCAGCTTCCCTAATCTGTCCACCTACCTGAATTTTTTTTCCCTGGATCCACCCTCATGAATATTTTCTGCACCCTGTCTAATCCTTTCACATCCTTACTAAAGCATGGTATCCAGGTCGAATACAATGTTCCAGTTGAGACCAAACCAATGTTTTATGAAGGTTCATAATATTTACTTTGTACTATATGCCTTTACGATAAAGTCCAGGGTTCAGATTCATTATTAGCTGTGCTTGACCTGTCCTTCCATCTTCAATTTGTGATCATATACCTTCAGGTCCCTCAGCTCCTAAACTCCTTAGAATTGTATCCTTTGTAATATTACATCTACTTATTCTTCTTACAAGTGTCTCACTTCACACTTCTCTGTATCACATTTTATCCGTAATTTATTCCATTTCACCGGCCTTGTCTTCTAGATGTCTATTACTATCCTTTTCATATTTTCAAATAGTTTTAAAGTTTGGTTATCTCCAAATTTTTAAGTTGTTGCCTGTATGCCCATGTTTAAGTCATTGATATGAGTCCTTTCACAGTACTAGTTTGCAAAAATTTGGCAAAGATGATCAAAATGCATTAATTGAAACAAAAAGGAAAAGTTTTTATTTAATTCTTTAAATAACCTCAATGATAGGAAGTAGCAAAGAGTTTTTTAATGGTAATTTAAAAAAAAAATTATCAGTGCAACACCATGTTGTAACATTCATCACAGAAAAGTTTGTGATGCAAAAAATAATGAAATGAACTAAACTTTAATCATATACCAATGTAATCATTAGAGCAGACATGCTCTAAAAAGATAACCAGATAGTATTTCAAAAGGAAAGAGGAACTGAGAAGAATTACTGTCACTTTTGCTGATCCTAATAACTGAATTCAATGGAGACACCAGCTCTAATAACTGCTATCATGGATTTGCTCGTCTTGGCTTTTGCTAGTTCTTTGTGACATCCACACCTTTATTTTTAGATTATTAATTACAATCTGGGTGCATTGCATTCTCATGAGTTATATTTTTAAAATGATCTTTAGCATTCACAGACGTCTGTAAGTGACTTAATTGCAGGAGAGTGTAACTGAGTTATCACAAAATATATAGCTTTGGAAATTCTTTTGATCCTAATAAAATCTGGAAAGACCTTGTTGGGTGACCAGTCCTTTGATTCAGCTCCTTCATTAGTTTTAAAGTCCGCAGTACCTTGCTTGACTTTGCTTCTTTAAAGTTCGAGTTGCATTGATATAACACTTGAGTTTGAGTACTTGATATGATCGTTAGTGGCAGCACTATATAAGCCAACAGCATGGAATAAACCTCCAGTTTTATCTGACAAACTGACTTTGTGTAATGAGCGCCTCAGTTGTGGAGCCAGACCTCAGAAGTGTCTCATTCGGCCCTATGCCATGCCATTGCTGTCAATAATCTAATGTCACATTGGAGGCAACTGAATCCAACACTCGCCTCAGTAGGAAGCAAGCATATGCTATACAGATCCTGACATTCATTCCTGAGATTTCAGTGCCAGGCATAGGTGGCCAGCTTCAGTGATGAGATTGATCCTTAGGTCGACTTCAGCTGAGTCTTGTGGCCCAGGATTCCAGCAGCCCTGTGTGGATGGTCTGCTTCGACGGTCGTTTCTGGCTCAGTATCCCAGCAGCCCGGCATGGCGGTCTTCACCGGCTTTTCGCAGTGGTACTATCTGCCTGAGCTCGGGAGCCATGAATTTAACTCGGATGAACTTTGTCTTAATTTTTAAAAATTCTTTCTCATCTATGCATTCTGTTATTAATATAGATACCACGGTATAGCGACTTAAACACTTTTCACTTTTTTTTTGTAAAAAAGTACACATGACAATAGATTACTATTGTATTCAATTCAAACCTCTGGCCATTGTAATTGACCTGCCAGTTTTTCAATGGCTGTAAAGAAAGTTTCAATGTCCTCCTTCAAATTGTGCACAAATTAGGAATATTTTAGGAAATCAAAATGTGTTTCCTGCCTAAGTGTATTGAAATTACCATTAGGTCCTCGCTGCTGCAAAGAGCCTCAATTCCCTGTCTTTCTGTACTTGTAACTCTTACTCAATCTTTAAGTGTTTCCTTCCTGAATCATTTGAAATTCTCTTTTTTTTTCTCCTTTCTGGGCTTCTCTTTTTTTTTGTTCTTCTTTTGATCTTCTCTCTTTGTTCTTCTCCACTTGGTCTTCTCCTTTCTCCCTTGCTTTAAATTGTAATTGTAGCCTTCATTCTTCCAAGCAGATGTAAGATAACTTGGCCTGTTTCAAATTCTGTAACTTCTACTTGCCCTGAATCAAGAATGAGGTCCAAATACTCAGCCAGCATCTTTACTGTTTTCTGACTCCATGCTTTAAGGTATATGTTAAAATCTATCTCCTTAGCTATGGTTTTTAACTGCCCTATGTTTAGGGGTACTAATTTTTGCTAAGTTGAGTCCTCTTGCAGAAATGCTTTCACGTCAAAGGTAGCCATCTTAATTTCTATTGGTAGTATTCCCAAAGCTTACTGCTGTAATTCCCTGTTTTGTTTCAACAATTTTGTCTTTTTCTCAATCTCCCTCCTACCTCCTTCTGAAGTCAGATTTTGATATTTGTAATGAATCAACTTTGGCTTGTCGCCCTCCATTTGTCACAGACATGAGCTTGTATGTTGTCTTATTTTTCTGTGATCAAAGTATTTTTGTTCTGTGAGGTTAATGTATTTTCTTGCCCACGGAGTGGTTTGTCCCAGTTTAAATAATTTTCAACATCAAATGTTTGAGTTTAAAACAAACCAGATAAATTATTATCCCACACTTGTCTCAGATGTTTAAAACAACATCTCAACTATCACATACACAAAGATTTATCTGTAGATGAAGGAGATAAAGAGCTCCTTTTTTTAAGTGTCTTTCCTAGCAGGCATGTTTCTTAATTGAATTGATGCTTCAACTGGAAAGGAGGCTTTGTATAGCAGACGATGCTTGGTAAGCGTCAGGGTTTCTTGCAGCAGAATTACTAGGATGTCAGTTGAACCTGAGGTGGAACATGCTGGGGAGAATCATTCTCCTACTTAAATTATTGTTATTTTACCTTGGCTACCTTTTGGTTTGCAGCTGGTTCAATAGCTTTTCATAATGTTTCAGATGTTATCTCTCATCATGTTTCTGATTAGAGTAGCTTCTGCTGCAAGCTTTAAAAGAACAGGTAACAAACATGACGTCTTACTCTTGGCCTGTTTCAAGCCCAATTATCCTTTCCCAAAAAAGCTAGTGTTGAGCTAGTATACTTCCCGAATTGTGGCTATTCACACCAGGTGTTTGAGACAGCAAAGTCTTTGAATTTCAGATGAGAAGTCATCACAAAACAGTGGAAGTTTGATCAGAATCATTTTTACATTTGCCTAACACCCACTGAGTTTCAACATCTCTGTTGTCCACAGTGAAGCAGGAAGATTGAGCAGTTGGTGTATTGTCATAAAAAATTCTGAGGCAGAGTCACCGGACCTGAAATGTTAACTCTGATTTTCTCTTCACAGATGCTGCCAGACTTGCTGAGCTTTTCCAGCAACTTCTGTTTTTGTTCCTAGTATATTGTCATGTTTGATAGTTCGTTCTTAAAAGGACTTGTGAATTTCACATGTAGCTGTGTTTGTACATATTTTAATTAAGTATTGGTTTTGGTATTTGCCATATTAAAAGGCGTGTCCATTTTAAAAATACAAATTTAAAACTGTCATGCCTTACTGGGAATGACAATATCACCCTTCAACCCAAAAAAACAACTTTTCATAAAAGTTCTATATTCCTTATCACTCGACTATTCTGTATTCTGTATCACTCTGTATTCATGCTGCCATAACCAATTTTTATTCCAGGCATTTTGCCAGCAAGTCTATTACATGTCTCTTCATCAAATACCTTTAGGAAGTCTATAAATAATACAAAAACTCTATTTCTCATCTAAATGTTCAGTCAAGTTCATTAAGCACAATTTACCTCTACCAACTTCATGCTAGTTGTCTCAAAATTGATGAAATACATTGTTCAATATAAATTGTTATCAGGCAGGGAGAAATGGATGACTGACTTAGTTTGTCGAGGAAATCTGTGCAAGGTGATCATCCTAAAATGTGTTATCAGTTCAATTTTGCTGCAATTTTCAGTTGGGGCTTATTAAGCTTTTGTTAAAGGCTGGATTTGGTAAATGGGGTGAAAGAAATTCACAAGGCTCTTCCGACAGCATCTTCCAAACCCACTCCCACTGCTATCTAGAAGGACAAGGACAGCTGCATGGGAACAGCACCACCTGGAAGTTCTCTCCAAGCCGCTTGCTATCCTGACTTGGAAGTATATCGCCATGCTTTCAGTGTTTCTGTCTCAAAAACCTGGAACGCCCTCCCAAATGACGTTGTATGTCTACCATAGCACGTATACTGCAACAGTTCAAGAAAGCACCCACAGTCACTTTCTCGAGGACAACCAGCAATAGACAATAAATACTGGCCCAGCCAATCATGTCTAAATCCATGAATAAACTTCTTTTTAAAAAAAAGACTCTAAATAAAAGGTAAATCTGAGCTAAAACTCTCTGACCTGGTGTCAGCTGAATGAAGGGAGAAATTATGTTACACTGCCACATCACTGTCTTAAACAAAATATTAAAAATGTTTAAAACTCAAAAGCAAAGATACAGCCCCAGTTGCTTGCATTCAGGGCAGAGGGGATGAAGAGAGTAGCTGTGAAAATCACTACTGCCCTTCGTGCTATAGGATCATTGGGGATAGTTAGTGCATTTCGTTCGTCAGTATAAGGAGCTTAAATTAGGAAGTGGAAAAATGTGTTTGGTTTCAAGATACATATTTAAGTTGAATGTACATTTTGTTCCAGAAGGCTGTGTGAAAGGTGTAAATTATCTATTCGGATTTTAAAATTTTGACTTTTCCCTAGTAGCTAGAATGCCGTAAATGCCTCCTTTGCTTCTGTATTTATTTTTCCTCTTCACTTTACAGCTTGTTGAACAAAAATTGGCAGAAAAGAAGCTTCGTTTCGCTGCTGCTGTCTATCACCACCTTTGTGCTTTTAAGATTCAAAGTATGTACAAAAGATACAGGGCTCTTAAATGTGCAAGAGATGAAATCAATTCTGTCATCTTCATTCAGGTAAAAAAAAAAGAAAAGGGTGAAGTTCAATCCAGGTGATCATTTTAAAACAGCAATTCTTAAAAAGCTGGAAGTTTACACTTGTTGACAATGAAGAACTATTCTGGTCACTACATAGGTCAAATACCTTTATAGTGTCTATGCATTTTAACAAAACAAATTAATCCCATTGTGTTTTATGATTACTTGAGTCTTTACAAGTCTTTTAACTTTTTCTAAATTTTTACACTTGTTTGAGAATACCTAATCTTCTGAAGAAATGACTTTCATGTAACATCAGATGAATTCAGTCATACAGCGCAGATATAGACCCTTTGGCCCACCACCATGGTTATGCTGACCAACAGACACCAAACTGTACTAATCCCACTTACCTGCACTTGGTCCATACCTGCCATGCACTGGCATTTTAAGTTTGTCCAGATGCTGTTTAAATGTTGCTCCCTTGTTCATCCTGCCAAAGTGCAGGTGGGAAGGCAAATGGTGAGGATGCATTCACTGTAGTTGTCTATGTAGTGGCCCACAGTACATAAAATTCCAAAACAGAAAATGAATGAGAAACAAGTAGAAAGTCCATTTTGGTGGTTGTGTTTGAGCATAGAGTGTTGGCCAGGATGTTGAATCTTTTGTGTTATTTGAATAGGCAATTCAGAAGCTTTGCTTTAACCTCTCCTCTTGAAGATAGCACTTCCAATAATGCAGCATTCCAAAATGTCAGCCTTGATTTTTGACCTTAAATCATAGATTGAGACTTGAATCCACAATCTTCATGATTCTGCTCATTTTGTCATATAATCTCAAATATGCTGGTACTGCTCAGTTGAATTGCTGTTGCCAAAATTACTTTGAATGACTACTTGTTCATCCAATCTGCTTGAAGTATTTAATCCAAAATTTATTTTGCTATTTCTCCAGCTTTTCCCAAATCCATTTCTGGTTGAATGGGTGTTGAATGTCCCCTTGATGCTTTTGCTGGTTTGAATAAGTTATTTGTTAATGTACAGTATTACATGTACACTTCATTATAGAGATGGTTCAGAACTTGTCTTCAACGCAGAAAATATCTTGATGATTATCATAAGATTATTGTAGTTCAGCGAACTGTGAAGATCTGGCTCATGCGACGTCACAAAGCTGCTGTTGTAATTCAGAAAGTTGCAAGACATTTTCTTCAGAAAACCCGGAAGCAAAGATTTCACAGTGCAATTATAAAAATACAGGTACTAAATCTTTCGTTGTGGTTGGCAGTTGATTTGAGTTAAAGTATTTGCCTTATTTCAGCAACTAATGAGCAAGAAAAAGTACATTTTGTACAGTTTAGTTTTCTGGTTACTTTTGGAGTTTACAAAATATCATATACTTTAAAACTTTAATTTGTTTTACTTTGATTGAAAGTCAATTGTCCAGTAGTTATCATGCTGTTTCACAGTTGTATGCATACTTTTTATAAATACTTCAATTTGATCTTGATAGACTTTAAGTTTATTGGAATAATGTACTTATTTATCAAAGAAAATATCAAAACAATTTTCTAATTCTGTAGGCTTTGTGGAGAGGATATTGCTTGCGCAAGAAAACCAACAATCTTCAAATAATTACTATCAGATGCCACATTGAACAGGCTAATCAGAACAGCACTGAGGAGCAGAAATTGTGCAACAGAACAGCTGTAGCACTCGATTACATTCTTAAATACAAACACTTCTCTCACATTCTTGCAGCTTTGAAACATTTAGGTTTGTATATTTTCACTTTTTTCATTTGTGCAATATAGTAAAATTAGATGAGAAACAATTAGATTAGTCTCTCCTATTAACTGAGTTATGTGAAGTCATCGTACACTAACTGTTTAAATTTTTTGACGCTGCTGAAGCTGGCATCCTCTGTATAATCCCAACTGTAAATGCAACTTAACAGTTTGATCTTTCTGTACATTTTATGTCACTTAAGCAGAAAATGGTGTGAGATAACCCACTTGAATTCACAGAGAGAACCCATCTATGAAACAGAATGATAGAGAAGTCTGTGATATCTAGCACTTGTTTGGGGTTAGGAGGGGTTTTATGAGCAAATTGGAAGGGGAGTGTTTTCTCATGTATTCTCTGAAAAGCTGAGTTTTGTTCATGTCTAAAACTAGGCTTGAAGTGGGTATTGATCATAATGGCTAATTTCATGAAGTATCTGCTAATCCCAATCACAGAGGATCTCATAATTTTAACATTAACCATTTATTTTCAGAGGCTGCAACCAGATTATCTTCTACTTGCTGTGAAAATCTTGCCCGAAGTGGAGCGACGCCTATTATTTTGACTTTGATCAGGAGTTGTAACCGCAGTGTGCCTTCTATGGATGTCATTAAGTATGCAGTACAAGTGCTCCTCAATCTTTCGAAGGTACTATCTGTATTAAATGACATTAACCTATTAAAAATAAATTCTGTTCTTTAAAAGGGCTTTTTAAAGATACATCTGGTTGGTTGGTTTAAGAAAGTCCTCCTGTTTTGAAGTAGATATAAAGAATTAAGTATGTTGAATTTAAATTAGTTGTAAGGATACAACTGCATTGGTGACTTGCTAACAGTTATAATTGTTATAACTCTTCCATCCAAATATGTTTTTGACTGGCCTGTGTACTTGGACATTGGTTAACTGTAGCTCGCCCCCTGATTGCAACAGTTGAGGGGAGGCGAAGGCCTAGTGGTATTATCGCTAGACTATTAATCCAGAGATCCAGTAATGTTTGGGTCCTAGGTTGGAATCCTGCCAAGCCATATAGTGGAATCTGAATTCAATAAGAATCTCAAATTAACAGTTTTGTGGTGACCATGAAGCCATTCTCGATTGTTGGGAAAAACCCATCTGGTTCACTAATTTCATTTTAGGAAAAGCCACTGTTCTTAACTGGCCTGGCCTGAACCAGATCCACAGCAACAAAGACAGAAGTTGCTGGAAAAGCTGAACAGGTCTGGCAGCATCTGTGAGTTAAAATCAGAGTTAATGTTTCGGGTCCAGTGACCCTTCCTCAGAACTGACCCACAGCAATGTGGTTGACTCTTAACTGCCCTCTGGCCAAGTATGGATGTGTAATAAATGCTGGCCTAGCCAGTGACGCTCATAATCCTGTGAATGAATACATTCTTTAAGAGTTTTTCTCGAAGTGATTTAGCTACAAATCTCATAACGTTTTCAACAATCAAACATTTTCTCAGTGTGCACCGTGATTTTGTCAAAAGGTTAATTAATTTAAGACTAATATTTACTAGTAGCAGTATTGCTAGATGTAAAAAGACCATTATCTGGTCGAATTGCCTACCATATTGGTAGTTGCATGATATAGTAATGAAGGTTTTCATTTAGCATAGTTATTAATTTCTATCAAAAAGTCTATACCTGGCCCTTACTTCAGGCAAGCTTGAATGATAGAAGCCTTTGGGAAAATTAGTCAGATTTTGCCTTCTTTACATTGAACAAATCTATGCTGAGTGACCAAGAATGAAGGTTGGGGAATTACAAGATTAAATTCCTCAACAACCTCATGCCAACTGCCGTTTTGACTGATGCAGGGAATAATGAGAGCTGATATGCACATTATGCTTAGCCTTTTAAATGCCTACCTCAATTTAAAATGTCCCATAGTTTAATATCTTTAGCTAGATGAATGAGTTCCTCATGCCTGCATGCAATACATCAGATTGTCCATCAAGAACCTTGGAGAAAGCCTGGTTTTGAATTGGCAACCTATTGACATACGATTTTGAAAGGTGTTGCCAACTTGATATGTTACAATTAGATGTCGTACGATTTAAGCATATTTTTAATGCAGTCACTTATGGGGATTTGTTCTCTAAATCAAATTAAATTGACCAGTGTTGTGAAGGTGCTCAGATACTTTAGAGAACATTATCCAGTAGATTAAAATACTTTTCTTCCTTCAACAGTACAGAGATGTCATTTGGACATTGTGCTTTAGTCTTTACACTGATTCAAAGTTGAGCTATTTGCTTAGCCATTTGAAACGGTGGGGCATATGGTCATCTGTCCTACTAGTTCAAAAGAATTGTAGTGATTCAGTTTCAGAGGCTTTGCTGACAAAGTTGTGCTTTGCAATTCTGCAGTGAACATTTGGCTGAGTTCCAAACCAACTTGTATTTAGTTCAGCAGCTGTTGCTGACAAAGCCACAAATGGATTGTGAGCTTGGTTTTGATAGTTTTGGGTTCAGAATTAATTTTTTTGGAGAGGTTTAGAATCGCTATTCGTTTATTTTGATTAGCTTCATGATGATCTCAAGAACTTCCCAAAATTATAGTAGGGCTCATGACTTGTGTCCATAATGGACACTGGGGCAAAGCAATGGGAGTAAGGAGTAAGCATGAGGGGTGAGGTCTAGAGTGCATAATATTTATGTACAAAATTGAGCTGAAGTACTAGTCTCCTAAATTGCCCAAATTGGAATTCTTATCTCATCTTGGGCCTCTTTCCTGAGAGGGCTGCTGCAATGCTGCATGTTGAAAATATGGTAATCATGAATTAGAAGGTGAAAGTGCAATGTTGAGAAGTAATCTGACCCATAATTCTGCTGCTAACCTGAAAATCAGTCCAATGTTTCAAGTCACCTGCTACTCCAAGTTTACCACCTATATCATGTGACGTTACTCGTATTGTAACCCAAAATATTGCTTGAAAGAAATCCATCTTTGCATTTATATAGGGTTCCTAATTTTTGAAGGTACGACTCTCAAATGCTCATACTCATGAACATGATCTTGTACAGGGGTGTAATTTTAAAGATCCAACATATATAAACATTTCCTGTACTTATGAATGACTCCTTTCATTGACCTGCATTGTTCCAACTTTCATCCAAATTGACTTACTTACGAATGAACTCCAGGATGGAATCCCTTTGCAACCTGATGACTGTCTATATATCAACTAATTCTAATTGTTTCCATCTTCTCTCTGCGCAATTTTAACCACAGCAGGTTCACTTGCTCACTGAGAATATTTTCTTACATTATTTTTTAATTCATCGACTTTTCATGCAGGTTATGCCCTCTTCTTATACCTGAAACAAGGTAAAGCAGCTTCACATGGTGGTGACTTATTCAATCTGCTTTACTTTTCACGAGATCCCTCTTGTATGGTACTTCTTACACCTTTGATTTCTGACCTTGACAGCTGATTTTGAATTATCATCATTTGCCCTTTAAGGCATTAATCTGCAGTGTTTCACATATGAGCTCTTTCTAGTTGATCATTTCTTTTCAGTCTCATCTTTGACTGCAGGAAGGTCCAATTACAGATAGAGTCACAGAGTCATACAGCACGAAAACACACCTTTCGGTCCAACCAGTCCATGCCGAACATACCCTGAAACTAAACTAGTCCCACCTGCCTGCTCCTGGCCCATATCCCTCCAAACCTTTCCTATTCATGTACTTATCCAAATGTATTTTAAATGTTGTAATTGTACCCATATCTACCACTTCCTCAGGAAGTTCATTCCACATGCAAACCACCTCTGTGTAAAAATATTTGCCCCTCGTGTCTTTTTTAAATCTCTCTCCTCTCACCTTAAGAATGTGCTCCCTAAACTTGAAATCCCCCATCCCAGGGAAAAGACAACGACCATGAACTCTATAATCTACTGTATTATGTCTTTAAGACAACTTCATTGGAAAAGATAGGCTTATTCTGAATGTTTTTATGTTGTTCATTTAACACCGTAAAGACTAACTGTTCACACATTCTACAGGACTAATATGCAGGATTCTAGTAAGCTGTGTGATTTCAGTGTGGTCATGATGATGAAGAGGAATTACTCACTGCATCAGCACAATTTTTTTTTGTTCACCCCCGGCCTTTCAATAAAGTGGCAGATTTCTCTTTCTGTTTGAACAACATAAAATACAAGAATGGTGATAAAAACCATGTGGGATATTTATGATTGTAAAGTTTCTTACCTTATTGCAGTATCTGTTCCTTTTTAGGTTTTCTTCCCTATCAGCATAAAGATTTAGCTTAGTTTTAGCTATGAATGAATAAAATTGCATTTTGATTTTAATGTCCTCCAGTATCACAAAACATCTACCGTTGTGTATGAAGTGGACAATTCCATTAATACGTTACTCGACTTGCTGCAAACGTATAGAGCAAAAGCCGGTGACAAGACATCAAACAAGTGTAGCAGCATTTTTACAAAGGTTTGCTGTTTACTGGCCCTTCTCTCAAAGGATTCAAAGAGAGCAATGGTAAGCAAATATATCTGCAAGTGTATATTCTAAAGGATTTCATTGTTATGAGCAAAGTTAAATGCCAGTTTGAATAAAATGTGGCAATTGCCGATTCTGCTGTTTGAATCATATTTAATAGATGAATATTTGTTCTGAGGTTGTGCTTTATTTTGTCTAAATAGAGTAGAATTCTAGTGGATAAATTCCATTTTGCTGAGGCAAATTGCCTTTGCAGAAAATAAATAATAGTGTTATGGTTAATTTCTTATACAAACACAGAATGCTGGAGAAACTTAGCAGGTCTGGCAGCAACTGTGAAGAGAGAAACAGAGTTAGCACTGAGTCTGCCGTGACTCCTCTTCAGATCTCTGTGTCAGATTTACAGCATCTGTAGTATTTTGCATTATTTGGTTCATTTCTTGTTGATTTTTCCTCTTTCCCACTTAAACAGGGAATACAAATGGGCCTTTGGATAAAACTGATGCACTAATGGTAGTTTTTCTGTTTTCAGGAGATTCGAAGCTTGCCTAGGGCAGTGGATCGTATCCTTAGCATTTATGAGCTTACCGTGAGAAAACACAAGATGGATATAGACAGAATAAATGTTAAACTGCGGATGTCTACCCCTTGCAATGGCATTTCATATATTCCAGCTACTCCTATTCGAACAAGTTTAGTTTCTAAGTAAGAACCCATTTTCTTACTTTGTAGTTATGTTGTCATTCTTTTGTGCTCATCTTTTCCATTTATCCCTTGTCTCTTCCTGCTTTTTGTTTTAAATAACACTTATGCTAAACTTTTTTCTTGATTGTGTTGCAGACTAAAACCAGACTGGGTCTTAAGGAGAGACAATATGAAAGAAATCGTGGATCCTTTAAAAGCCATTCAGTTGGTTGTGGATACCCTTGGAATTTCTACTTTAAATGTCAATAATGGGAAATAGTTTAATTTTTCAATAAATGTTCATGTTCATGTAAATATGTGTGCAGAAACAAAATCTTAAAACTCGTCCAAATTATATTCCTTGTATATTGTTTGTCAATGTTGGTTAAGCTTGGTTCAGTTCCACATACGTCGCTCCTATGTGTGTCATATCATGGTGAAAGATTTTCTACTATTTCTAATCTGAAAATAAATGTCATGAAGCTTGGTTTTATTACATTAAGGAAAAGAAATAAATTTTTATGTAATGACTTACAAATGTTTTGTTGAATCACTTTTTTTTCTGGCGACGTTGATAAATGGTGTTGATTAGCATTTTGTGGAAGGGAGTGTGAATGCCCATAAATTCAAATTAATTAGACACTTGACAGATGTATAGAAGGATTTTTGGTGTATAGCAGGCTGCAACGTTAGTGTAGGAAGCCAACTGGTTGAGGTTTGTAAGGGTTGAAACAAAACATAGAATGTAAGCTTAATTTAGGACTGTACAGATCCAAGAGGAGACGTGAACCATTTAGCTACACAAAGAGACATGAGCATGATTGTGCATGTAAATTATAAACGCGTTGATGTGATCGAGTGATAATAGCTGTAAATGGGAATCTGTTTGCATTTTCAAGGAACATGGTTACTGGGCACTGCAAGAGCTTGATTGATTGATGTCTATGTGACAAATTGTGTGCCAGAGTAACAACCATAACTGAAGTATGTAAGAGGTGGAGAAACCTTCGTTTGTTGAACTGAACCTTTTTAACTGCATCCTCATATGCACACTGGTAGAATAAAGCCTTTGCCTTATATGGCCTTCAACTGTCTGTTGAGTGTTGCTTGAAACACCACAACAGGGAGTAAACATCATAAGCAGGAATCTTATTCTCATCTTCAATCCATTGTGGTTGGTAGACAAAGTCAAATTTGCCAAGAACCATATTCTTTGTAATAATAAATGGAGTGCCATTTGATTACACATTCACTGTTTCTGCATGTACATTAGAAGCAAGACATATTGCAGAAGTTCATCAAGGATTCTTTAAGGCTGAGAGAAGATTGATTTGAGGTATATAAGATGCTAAAGGGAATTGACAAAGTAGATGTTTGGTGGATGTTGCCCCTTGTGGGGCAACTTAGAATGAGAATCATAGTTTTAGGCTACTGGACTGCAGTTTTAAAACAGGAGGAACTATTTTTCAAAAAGTTGTGAATCTTGAATTCACTACCTCTGAGTGCAGTGGATGCCAAAAATACTGAATAAATTTAAGAGACATTTTTCAGTAATGGGTTAAAGGGTTACCGGGGCAAGGCAGGAAAGTGGAGTCAAGCCTGAGATGAGATTGACCGTGATTACATTAAATGGCAGAGCAGACTTGAGGGGCTGAGTTGCCTACTCCTGGTTTACGTTTTTGCATTCCTTGCAAGGAACATTTCAAAGCCATGAGGACCACCATATAGATGGACATACGTTAGAGACATTTGGGAACACCACCGCTTGTAAGTTCCCTTCCAAAGTACTCACCAACCTGATTCTGAAATATATCAGTTTTCTTTCAGTGTGACTGGGTCAAAAGCCTGCAACTTCGTCCTGAATTGCACTGTGGATGTACCTACGCGAAATTGAC